CAGGGCTCCCCACGTGGCTCAGAGGTAAAGATGCCATCTGCAGTGCAGGGACCACAGCAGACGGGGGTTCGATCCCTGGGTCGGGAAGATCCCCTGGAGGAAGGCATGGCAACCCACTCCGGTATTCCTGCCTGGGGAGTCCCACGTGTCCCTGGAGCCTGGCAGGTGCAGTCCAGAAGATTGCAAAGAGTCGGACATGCCTGGAGCAACTTAGCTAGCACACACACACATGAGCCATGCTCATCCAAGCAAGACATTTTATTTGGCTCACACAGAAGTCTAAAAATGTTCAAGCGTGCCTGTATGGTGGGTGTGAGATCTCCTGCATGTCTTAATCCCATCCACTCCCAGCTCCATTCACCCTGAGCACATTTTAATCACTTAGCAGCTTGGCCTGTTGTCATTTGAATTCGTATTCCTGGGCTGAGGCAGGAGAGACCTTTAAAATTACGGTGAAGTCACAAAAACGTGAATGTTGCCACATACTTCCCCTGGAACGCATTGATTGGTAAAGACTAGAGTCATCCATCTTATTTAAACTGATGCTCTTTACCAAAGCATTCAGTTCTTCACTTGTTCTTTCACTTACTGCAGTCCCGCTAGGAAGAAGACACTTCCTAAGGAGGAGTAACCCAAAAGGACAGAAATTAACACGTAGGTTCTACTAAAGGCCAGGCATTTAGCTGGGCGTTTTGCAGACTTTTTTTCAGCTAACTTTTCAGCAACGCATCTAATACTACTAGTATGAGTATTTTACTGATACAGCAAACTGACAGTGTGAGAAGCTGGGGCAACCTTCATTTAACAAAGATGAGTGAGCAACCGCCCACACCACTACTGTAGATGATGCGACTCGACTTTGAACACCACCATGCTGTTACCAATTCGGCAATTTGGAGCCTTTTTGTATCAGCTTGCAACAGCTGATTATTAGAATTTCAGGAATTTTGCAAGTCAGTTGTTAAACTACAGATAACTTAAAATTAGTCTCATCAGGCATATTTGCACAATGGAGAGCAAACAAAACCAGAAATCAGGACTTTTTTTTTTTTTGAGAGGGAATTTACAACAATTTATGAATTTTGAGAATCTGAATCCAGAACGTAGGCCTGAGTGCCTTTGCAACCAGGGCCATTTCTACTCTGTAGGTGAACAAGGAAGTCTCCATGTTCAGGAAGCCAGCGACAAGAAGGGGTGCATGTCAACCTCAGGAGCCAGACTCTGGTGCAGACACCCGGATTTGAATTCTAGCTGTTGCTGACGAGCTATGTGACCTTGGGGGAGCAAAGTTCATACCACTGGAACTCAGTTTCCTTCCCTATTAAACAGGATAATAACAGTCATCTCACAGGGTTGTATGAGTATTAGTCTTTAATATATACACTATATACACTGTAGCATATAAATTAGTGTATATTTATACTTTGTGTGTGTGTATATATATATATATGTATATATATATATATAAAATTTATGGGGCTTCTGTGACGGCTCAGATGGTAAAGAACCCGCCTGCCAGTGCAGGAGGCACGGGAGATATGGGTTTGATCCCTGGGTGGGGAAGATCCCCTGGCAAAGGGAACAGCTACCCACTCCAGTATTCCTGCCTGGAGAACTCCATGGGGTCACAAAGAGTCAGAAAGATAGCATGTATTTATAATATACATATGTTTATAAATATAGCACATATTTATATAATATTTATAAATATAGTGTAAATTTATACCTTATATATTCCTTTATATAAAACATTGCCTATCACTTGGTAAGAATTGTATAAATGTTTGTTATTACTATAAAAACAATAAACACAGAAAATGAACATTTGTATTTGTACAAGTGTTCGCACCTGAAAGAGAAAAACAATATTTTGAGTGTGTATGAGAGACAATTCTTTCTCTCATTCCCATCCATTTTGTTGAATTATATTAAAAGCTTTTGCAATTTTTCAAAACTTCCGGGGACCAACTGATATGACTATGAGTTTTCCATTGAAGTGGTAGAAGAGAGATTTGCTTTATCCAGCCTTATTCAAATTTAATTTATATTGTGTCCAATTTCCATTGCCACATCCAAGCATAGTCACACCAAGACTCCCACCCAGCTGGAGGAACTCAAGCCTGTGCCTTCTCTGTATCCACTGGCCTGACCACGCAAATCAGTCCATTTTTCATTATTTTTTGAAAGCAGATATGTTGAATATTTAAAAATGTTAAAAACTTATCATTTCCTTAAAGACACTAATCACTGATAGCTTATGGTGAACGATGTCAGATTCATGATCTCCAAAGAAGGTTTAGCTTCGGGACCAGGGACAAAAGCTAGTAGCAGAGTTTTATAAAAGTGAGGAAGGACAGAGAAAGATTCTGACACAGACATCAGAAGGGGGATGGAGAGTGGCCCCCTGCTAGTCTTAGCAAAGTGAAGTCGCTCAGTCGTGTCCGACTCTTTGTGACCTCATGGACTGTAGCCTACCAGGCTCCTCCACCCGTGGGATTCTCCAGGCAAGAATACTGGAGAGGGTTGACATTTCCTTCTCCAGGAGATCTTCCCAACCCAGGGATTGAACCCGGGTCTCCCGCATTGCGGGCAGACGCTTTACCCTCTGAGCCACCAGGGAAGCCCCAGTCTTAGCAAGGCCTTATACAAACTTTTATCAGACCCACTCCCACGACATACATCTTAAGGTAACAGGATTAGTCAGAAGGTCCTTGTTAAGGAGAAACATATCCCTGAGCAAGAGTCATTGTTACGTTGACTAAGACAAAGCAATGTAGACAAAAATGTTTTTCCTATCCTCCTTGGGGACCCTGGGCTTCTTATCAACCTTCCTAGGAATTGACTCTCATGGGTGTCTGTGTCTCATTTATTTTTGTTATGGGGTTTTTATAGGTTGATTTTATCAACCCACTGAAATATATAAATATTGCCATTCAAAGCCCTTCATTTATGGGATGATTCTTATATAAAGAGAGTTTAGAAGGGGAGAGAGGATCCAAGGATAGGAGAGAGAGTCATCTCTCAAGATGTGAGTCCCTGAACACAACTGATATTGGGCATGTTTGTTTCAATAAAAGTTCAACAAAAAATAAGCTTAATTTTAAAATTTAAATAGAGTTATGATAGATTAATAATAAGGAGGACCGGAGCAATCTTTCTAGCAGTGACCATGCAATTTTTCAACTGAAGATTGAAAGTCTTGTGGTTGTTTATAAAGTAACTCAATCTTATATTCACAGAGATCAGCAAAAATGGCAACTTTGACTGTCCCAGAATTTAAGTCCATAAAGGGCGAGTGTGTCACATTTAGTGTTGTTTATTTCCTTAGATGTCAGATTAAGCAGTCATTAGTTCAATCCACTTGCTTAATGTTATTACTTCATATAAAATGCTCCATAGCCTCTGTATACATCAACGTGTATAATTTACACCAAAATCATTACTTGCCAATATTTGGGGACCTTGGTAGGAAATCAAGATGCCATCTAGTCTAGCCAACTAGAATGAAATTTCTTTTTTCCCATCCCGGGGAATTGCTTTTCCTGAGCCTTTGTCAAACATTTTGTCAAAATTTTAGGCTAAACAGATGTGCTGTATATACTAAAGATGTAGAATAAATTATTCCAAATGCTGTAATATCCCAAGGTCCAATTCTGAAACTTTCTGCCCAGAATCTTAATGATATGATTCAACTCAGATTCCAAAAGAAGGAGGAAAAAGTTAGTGAAAAATATACTAAAAAGATTTAAACTAAAAGTTGGATAAAACTACAGAGAATGAAATAAATTTTTTCATTGATGAGAAAATTAACGGTAACTTCTAAAGAAGCAGGCTGGGTTTTCACCCTCCTCTTTCTCATGATCTCTTCTCTGACTTTTGAAGCTTTGAGCCATCTGGGGGGAATTTTTGAAGAGTTTGTGTTTGTTGTTTTTGATCTTAGGAGTGACACAATTTTGTGTGGTTCCCATCTCCACCAGTACAATAATGAACTCGTGGTTGTGTACCACAGTACTTGTCTTTCTCTCACAATGGCCAAATGTTTCTGGGTCCAAATGTTCTCACGGGACAGTAGAAAACCAATGTTTATGGTCATCTCTTAAAGAATTGAGATGTTCATACATAAACCTCACATAAACTGAAGGGATGGATACATTTACAGGCGTAAATGCAAGCCATGTCCCAACTCAAGGTGAGTAACAGCCACTGGGGGCTCTGGCAGGAAATTACGGGCTAAGAAAGGCAAGTGGAAGCTAAGGCGTTTCCCAAACAGGGCAGACACCAAAGACAAATGGCAACTGGCTCATGACTGTTGCCAGGCTCTAGAGAAATCCTGAAATAAGCAGCTCTCGCACGCAAATAACTGCACAGGTCAAGAAGCTCATGGCTCACAAATTCCCATCAAGCCAACGGGTGTCTCTTCCACAAACACGGTCTCACCTCCGTCAGGAAGTAACGGAGCTGCACATCTTAGGGGTTTGAAACACAGGTGTGTACAATGCATTAAACATAGACCAAAGGACTGATGCTGAACCTGAAGCTCCAATACTTTGGCCACCTGATGCGAAGATCTGACTCATTTGAAAAGACCCTGATGCTGGGAAAGATTGAAGGCGGGAGGAGAAGGTGATGACAGAGGATGAGATGGCTGGGTGGCATCACCGATTCGATGGACATGGGTTTGGTTGGACTCCGGGAGTTGGTGATGGACAGGGAGGCCTGGCATGCTGCGGTCCATGGGGTTGCAAAGAGTCGGACACGACTGAGCAACTGAACTGAACTGAAAGGAACAGTTAACTTAAACAGAAGGTCAAAATCAGCAACAAGTTCTGCAGTCCAGGGCTGATGTCAGATACAAACTTCAGGGACAAATTTTTTCAACTCCTTAACCACTGGACCACCAGGGAAGTCTAAACTTATACTTTTCAACCAACTCATGCAGCAAATTCTGCAAGTTTCCTCCTAGTCCATTTAGAAGTATTTGCAGTGGACAGTGGAGCTACCTGAAGAGTCAGCCTCCTGCGTGCTGATCCACGCAGGCCGACGGTGAGCAGGGAGACCAGGATGGAGCCCCGCCCTGTGCTGAGTACGTGCGGCCAGGAGGAGCTCTGATCTTGAGCTCGGTCCTGGTCCTGGGGGCCACCAGAGCTCCCGACCTCTCCCCACATCCTGCTGGCGGCATGGGGTACGTGCCATTCCCCCGGGCAGCACCCTGCGGGCAAACAGTCCTTCTGGATGTGGACGTCACCCTCTGGGATGCAGTTGAAAGTGGGCGTGTGGCTGCCACAGGACTTCATACCCAGGAGGAGGGCTGGAAAAACCGCCTCTGGACCCCAGAACCACAAGCTGAGGATGCTGGTCACCCGATGGTCTGCCAGCTCACAGCTCTTCTCCAGGGAGGGGGAGGACACAGCAGTGGCCGCCTCCTGCTCCAGTTCCGGGGGGCCTGGCAGAGTTGCTCCTTGCTTCACACAGGATTCCCCACTGGGCAGTGATGGTGAAGCTGGGGCCTCACTTCGGGAACATCTTCACGAGGTGGTCAGTCAGGTCCCAGCCAGCGAGGTCCAGATGGACGATGGGTGGCAGGGAGGGGGGCATAACTCCTGGTGGATGGGCATGGTGTGGGCAACCCCCTCCTCAGAGTCCAGGACAGTACCCGTGGCCTGGCCAGAGGCTTCAGGGACGCACGGGGCTGCAGTCACACACACACACCAGAGGCTCCAGTTCAGTTCAGTTCAGTTTAGCTCAGTCACTCAGGCGTGTCCAACTCTTTGTGACCCCATGAACCTCAGCACACCAGGGCTCCCTGTTCATCACCAGCTCCTGGAATTTACTCAAACTCACGTCCATTGAGTCGGTGATGCCATCCAGCCATCTCATCCTCTGTCATCCCCTTCTCCTCCTGCCCTCAATCTTTCCCAGCATCAGGGTCTTTTCCAATGAGTCAGCTCTTCACATCAGGTGGCCAAAGTACTGGAGTTTCAGCTTCAGCATCAGTCCTTCCAATGAACACCCAGGACTGATGTCCCTTAGGATGGACTGGTTGGATCTCCTATGAGTCCAAGGGACTCTCAAGAGTCTTCTCCAACACCACGGCTCAAAAGCATCACGAATGTGATCTGATCACCTTCTCAGGGCTGGGGTGGGAGCTCCAGGGGCCTGGGAAGCCACAGTGGGTGCGCCTGGGGGCCTACCGCACTCACTGTCGACGCTATGATGGGTGCCTCTTCTTCACACCATGCTGTCCACGTTGGTGATGATGCCCTAATCCCAGCGTAGTCCAGGGCCAGGGTGCTGAGCTTCGATCAGGGCTCTTTGCCCATGTGACTGTTCCAAGCTGGCTGTGACACCCTGCTGTTGGGAGGGACCAACTATGGATGAGAACAGGCTGATGACGCCAGGGAAGCGTCATCCCCAGCGAAGCCAGCTTGGCAAGTGCCAGAGCGATCACTGATGAGGAGGACAGAGATTTCTTCCTCCCCAGTGATGGGCAGAGGTGTCAGCAGCTGGTCGTGGCTGAGGGACCAGCAGAGCCTGCCTGCTGTGGCCAGTCTTCAACTCAGTTTAACTGAACAAACGCTCCTGGGATGCCTAGGCTCTGTGGGATGTTTACAAGCCTGGGTTATGCCTTCCAGAAGATTAGATTCTGACAGAGACAGGAAAGGGCATCATAAATTTAGTGATCGTTTCTATACATGAGTTAAATATTAATAGATGGACACTGAGAATAACCAAATTCACATCTCTGAAGAACAGATCCTACTATGGCTTATGTTCATTTGTTTCTGGTGACGAGTGATTGTAGAAAACTGGGAAAATTCAGCAAAGTCGTCCAACCACAAGATATCTTCCCTTGCCTCCCCCACCCTCCCCAGAGACAGTGCCCTCATCAGGGTTTTGATGTAAATGTTGTCTGCTAACCTGAAAGGGAAATGAACAAGGACGGCTGAGCTTGAGAACTGTGTTAAAAGCAGAACTGATAAGATTTGACAGCTGATTGAATGTGGTAAGAAGGGAGTCGTCAAAAAAAAAAAAAAACCAAACCATAATTTTCAAAACTAAACAACTTAGTGTGAAGTGATGGAAGGAACCAGATAAGGAGCGGGAGGCTTCCAGGAAAGGAGGGGTGTCAGTTTCACTACTTGAACTGGAGGTGACTGCAGCTCAGGCACGTGGAAATCCTAACAGGGGATTGGCTCTGGGGACTGAACACGGCCAGGAATGTGTTTAAGGTTTCTGTATTGAAGTTGACCTCGAAATTTCTTTTTAAAGATCATGTTAAACTATACATCACAGGCTCTGAATTGCACTGAGATTTAAAGAAGCTGAGACTATATTTTGATCCTGATTATTGGCTCAGGTTTATACATTTTATGCTTAGTAAAGTGCCCCCTGGTAAAGGGTTTCCCTGATAAAAACATTTCTTGGTGGCTCAGATGGTAAAGAATCCACCTGTGATGTGGGAGACCTGGGTTCTATCCCTCGATTGGGAAGATCCCCTGGAGGAGGGTATGGCAACCCACTCCATATCCTTGCCTGGAGAATCCCCATGGACAGAGGAGTCTGGAGGGCTACAGTCCATGGGGACGCAAAGAGTCGCACACATAAAGTGCACCAACAATTATCTTTGGTATAAGGTCATAAAGAGACATGCAGAGACTTCCCTGGTGGTCCAGTAGTTAGAGGATCCACCTTGCAATGCAAGGGATGCAGGTTTGATCCCTGGTCAGGAAACAAAGATCCCACATGCCCTGGATCAACCAAGCTGGCCATGGCAACAACCGACCCCCCAGATGACAACTAAGACCCAAGGCAGCCAAATAAACCCACATTTTTAAAAAGAGAGATATGCCATGAATATTATTCATTCATAAATAAAACATTTCACAAATGTTTACCCATAATTTCCAATCTCAGACACCTATGAAAATATAGATCTATTAAAACTCCAAGATCATGAGCTTTGCTCTGTCCTACAAATGAGACAAAAATATCACCAAGAACTGAAAGATCTTACCAGTGAAAATAAGTCACCTTGCCAGCACTGTCATTTAGAAGCCTAGAGCCTTAAACACCGCCCCGCCACCCCCCCCCCCCCCATAAATATTGCTTCCTTGGTCACTGTGGCTACCAGTCGAAATAGGAATGATGGATTCATATACATTCTCACTTTTTGTTTTTTGCAGGCCCTAAAGGATTTTCTTTCTGCAGATTCAGTCTACTAGGATTCTATGTAAATAAGCAAGTAGTAGGAAATGGCAACCCACTCCAGTACTCTTACCTGGAAAATGCCATGGACGGAGGAGCCTGGTGGGCTACAGTCCACGGGGCTGCTAAGGGTTGGGCACGACTGAGCGACTTCACTTTCATGCATTGGAGAAGGAAATGGCAACCCACTCCAGTGTTCTTGCCTGGAGAATCCCAGGGACGGGGGAGCCTGGTGGGTTGCCGTCTTTGGGATCGCACAGAGTTGGACACGACTGAAGCGACTTAGCTGCAGCAGCAGCAGCAGCAGATACTGTTGGTTATCTACCCAGGTTTCATTTCCCCATGCTCCTTGCTATCAGCTTCCCATTTTTTTCCTGGTAGACCAGGACCTCAGTTCTGGTAGATTCCTTCTGATTGGTCTAAACCAGTGGTGATAATTCACTTCGTTTTGCTAGCCATTGGTGTAGGTGCAGGCATGTGACACAGTTTTGGCTGAAGAGATGTCAGAGGGATTCTGTCTCTGGGCTCTGAAGCAGTTGCCTCCTTAATGAAAAAGCATTGAGAGTAGAAAGAACGTTCGCCTACCACCTTTCCCAGTGCCCCAGGGACATGATTATTTTGAGCATCAACAGTCATTTTCAACCATATGAAAAAAAATCAGAAATATACTGAGGTTTGCTGAGGATAGCTGTACAACAAAAATCAGAAAATCGTGGATCTTTTATGACACAGCTAGAGTGAGATACCAACCCTGAAATTTCTACCTCCAAGCTTTCTGTTCACTTCAGTTCAGTTCAGTCGCTCAGTCATGTCCAACTCTTTGTGACCCCATGGACTGCACCACGCCAGATCTCCCTGTCCATCACCAACTCACGGAGGTCACTCAAACCCATGTCCATTGAGTCAGTGATGCCATCCAACCATCTCATCCTCTGTCGTCCCCTTCTCCTCCTGCCTTCAATCTTTCCCAGCATGGGGGTCTTTCCCAATGAGTCAGTTCATTGCATAAGGTGGCCAAAGTATTGGGGTTTCAGCTTCAGCATCAGTCCTTCCAATGAACACCCAGGACTGATCCCCTTTAGGATGGACTGGTTGGATCTCCTTGCAGTCCAAGGGACTCTCAAGAGTCTTCTCCAACACCACAGTTCAAAAGTGTCAATTATTTGGGCTCAGCTTTCTTTATAGTCCAACTCTCACATCCATAGATGACCACTGGAAAAACCATAGCTTTGATGAGATGGAACTTTGTTGGCAAAGAAATGTCTTTGCTCTTTAATATGCTGTCTAGGTTGGTCATAGCTTTTCTTCCAAGGAGCAAGCGTCTTTTAATTTCATGGCTGCAGTCACCATCTGCAGTGATTTTGGAGCCCAAGAAAATAAAGTCATTCACTGTGTCCATTGTCTCCCCATCTATTTGCCATGAAGTGATGGAACCAGATGCCATGGTTTTAGTTTTTTGAATGTTGAGCTTTAAGCCAGCCTTTTCACTCTTTCTGTTATGCTTAACCATTAATTGACTTTATATTTGAAGCTATTGTCAGCTATAACTTGCAGTGTAGAGTAATCCTGTAACTGTTTGTAAAGCACCAGCATAGAGGAGGCACTCAATAGGTTTTAGCTTAAATTACATTAGTAAGCAATTCAAAGCTCACTAGACTCAGAGGCACATTGTGGAGACTGGATTTAGTCTAACTGAGGAGGGTGTCTGGAATAGGGACCCAGGTCCCATGGTCCTGCATCCGTCATGTAACACCGGCTTTCTCATGACCCATACCAGGGTGTCAGCTTTTGTGTTTAGATTTGCTCTTCAAGTGGTCAGATGCAGGCCTTGAAATGGGCCAGGGTGCTGAGTCCCAGCAAGCTCCTGCCCCTACCCTCCCACGGGGCTGGACCATGCTCATCAGGCCGACTCGACTGCTCTGCACACTGTTGTCGTCATTTTACCACGGCATCTTCTCTTCCTGCTTCTTTCTACACTCTTGAGAGCAACCATGTTGGAGTGGAATAAACAGGAGCCTGGCAGGGTAGAAGAGAAATGGAAAGGGAAAGAGGCCTGAATAATCCATCAGCTGGCTAATCCATCTCTGAATAATTCATAAACTGACTAATCTGACCCTACCGTCCTGCCTGTACCTCTAAGCAAACGGAAAGAAGCCTTCGGGCAGCGAGCATTCTCACTTCTTCCAGTGAGCTCCAGGACTTCAGGGCAAAGCCAAGAATTGCCATGCCACCTCCACATCCACAGGGGCTTGGAAGGGACAGTCATTCCATTATACATTCTTCTCCATGGTTTCACTGGCATGCCA